ATGGTGCATCGGGTCCACTCACCACTGTGAAACCTTTCCCCGGAGAAGACTCAATTATTCCAGGACGTCCACTCCTCGCCGGTTAAGCCGGCGCTCTCTGCCGAAGCATCGGATCCAGGCTAATTAGCATCCCCGGAGGAGCCCCGTGTTTCAGGGGCCACTCCTCGCCGGTAAGGCTGGCGATCCCTGCCCGACGCCTGGCATCGGGTCCGCTGTGGGGCATGGAAAAATCCCTGGAATTACTCTAAAGGAAAATTCCACCGAAAAACCCGCCCCGAAAGAGCCGGGGTTACATAGGAACTTTTCCCGATGAAAACAGTTTTAAAAAAAATCTGCATTCACCGGGAATCGAACCCACGACCCCTAGAACTGCGTTGTATCAGTAACAAGCACGCTTACCACTGAGCCAACCCCGCTCCTTGTAACCCCAGCTGTTTAAGGGTGGGTTTTTCCGTGGAAACTTTTTTCAGAGTAATTTCAGAGTTTTTTCCTTGCCCCACAGGTTTACAAGCCTAGGAGAATGCAAAACAGTGTTAGGGCTATAGGTAGGGATTAGCGGATCCGATGCCTGGCGTGGGGTAGGGATCGCCGGCCTTACCGGCGAGGAGTGGTCCCTGAAACACGCGGCTTCTCCGGGTGGCGAGTAGACCCGATGCACTATTGGTGCAGAGAGGGTCAGCTTAACTGAAATGGGTGTGGCAATACACCCCCACTCATAGGTGGTGAGTGTGTGGCCCCGGTGATTAAGCCAGTAGGCTGTCGCGGTAACCCGGCAGAAAAAAAAAAAAGAAAAAAAAATACAAGATTTCTCCAGCAGCTATTGATAATAGTCCTGTAAAAGCGTCAGAAGATGAATTCAGTATGGATACGATGGACCCAAAGGAATCGTCAAAGGAAAACAATGATACTGTTGAAAGTAGTAAGCGATTAAAAATCATATACGTATATAAACTCTTCAACATGCATTACAGCCTTATAATAACTCAATATATTCATACATATGCATCTGCAGAATCTCTAGTTGGTAAGCATTTTATTTTTATCATTTAATGTCACCTACTTTTCGATTTTGTTGGTACACTCTCTGTTAAGTGTTTCTATATTTGATTACCTTTCTTTTTCCATTTCGTGTATGTAATAGTAGAAACACTCACTTTTCCCAAAATTACATGAAAAAAAATATATTATGTTATAGGTTCTAAAAAAGGCAATCGTTGTCAGTGGTCCTATGAGCAAACGTCTCTACTTCTTGCACTCTATGAAGAGAATCAAGAGCTGTTTAATGCCAATGTACTCACCCATAGACAGTTTTACGAAGTTCTGTCTGAGGGGATGGCCCAGAAAGGATAAAAATTCAATTTATATCAATGTTAATGTAAGATGACAAGATCACCAACTTGTAGTAAGTACATTTTTCATCACATTCATAAATGTATTTGCAAACATATTAATCTACATTTCCTTTATAGAGCAAAAAAAGTTGTTCTAAACGATTTGAAAATACAGTATTTGCAGAATGCTATGGATGAAAGGAAGCTGCGAAGGGAAGAAACTGCTACGTATAGAGAAAAAAAAACTTGAAGCGTTTGAAAAATTAGCCGCTGTATTGACTCAAAAAAAGAATGCTCATTGAAAAATATGAACTATCGCCCTCAGTATTTTATTCGATTTATCGAACAAGACTATTCTAAAAAAAATATTTTAGTATTTAGTTCTTCAAAGTTATTTAAATTTTAAGTTTGCATGTTTTAACATTTCATCGTACTGAAAATAACAAAATGTATTTTGCATATACATCCGGTATAAATGAGATCTGTCTCAATTCCTACATGTAGTCACTACATCTCATATACTTGTTCCTAAATTAAATTAAAAATAAAAATCTGAAACAGATATCAGTATCATCGAATGTAAATGTATTTCAGTATCACGAAATATTGATCAAAATACGCATCAAAAGTCTTAGAGTTATTATTTTAAAAACTTGCATAAAACAAACAGCATAGTGGCTATTGAGAAATAAAATTTGTTTACTTTGTAGATCTCCATTAATAAGGTATAATTTAGAGTTTTCGAACATTTTTTTATCTCGTGTATCAAATAAAAATTAGAAATCTCATTCGCAAAAACTGTATGGATGGGAACATTTTATATACATGTATAACATTTATAGTAACGACATACACCTGCAATAAATATATTTATTGAGCATGAGTATCAAAAATGTATGATAAGTGTATGTAGTATTATTAACTTGGATTACACTGTAGCAGCTACTATACTTACAATTTGTTTAGCTCACTGCTACTCAATACATTTATCTACGTACATTGTCATGAGAAAGTAGACAAGATAGAAACTATAAATAGTATTATGCTTCAGCATATATTGGTATTTAGGGTATAACTAAGGTTCATGTATTTTCTGTACTTTTGAAACAGTTTCTTATGCCTTATCAGTGAGCAGTAGTACTCTCATACATTATATTAAAAAAGGAACTGTTTATATGCTAACTTTTTTTAAGGTGGCTGGGGTGGTTAGTACCGTTCCTAGAGTAAGTTGCCATAAGGGCCCCTAAAAAATCAACACTTTTCGACGGTAAATTTTTTAATAAATATAGTTATTTCGATAAAACTAAAGTATAAGATCAAGTAATTGCCAGAAAAGTACCGTGAAATTATAACTGTAAAAATTGGGAAATGTTGCGAGGCAAGCCAGATTAATATTTCATACTTTTCTTCTGATTTTTTCTTAAGTTAAGTCGTTAACCCTATATTTTCAAGAATTTAATAGATTCCTTGTAAAAAAATACACGAGAACTATTTTAAATTTTTGAGGTTAATCAAGTACTTCTAGAGTTATAGCCGTTTTAGTGACAATTCCCATAAGATTGCATGTTAAATTGGTGAATTTTCAGTAGCGATTTGCGAAAAATTGAGTCGTTGACCCCAGCATTTTTTTATCGCAAATGAATTTGGCATACTTTATTTACATAATTTCAGAATTTCTGAGGTTTTAATCAAGCCGATAAAAATCGCCCAAGCCACCTTAACCTGTACCAAAATGTTTCATTAAAAAAAAAATTACAATTAAATAAAATTGTTTGTGTTTGTGCACTTAAAACCAATACATATTTACTACAATATTTCACTTCCAGTAAGAAAATTTGTTTTTATGAGTGATGCAAATACGTAACAAGAAATCAATGCAAAATATTTGTTTCATGCTCAAAACAGTGACGAGTACAACAATTTACAAGCATTTACATTTCTTCGAAGCATAAGCATTATATTTTGTCTTTTAGCTATTACTTCTAATTTTTGTTGATGGTTGACTTCAAGAGTTTGGAAAAAGCATATGCATTATTCGGTATCACAATAGGATACTCAAACGTATATTCTCTCTTTAGATGTATATTATAGAGCGCGCGGTGGCTCAGTCGGCTAGATCGTGGATTGACACGCGGGAGACAGCGGTTCGATTCCCGGCCAGTGCGACTTTTCGGGCAAGTACCTCTGTGTATTTTCACATGTGTTTTTTCACCACGCAATGCTCCTCGAGGAGGGTTTATAGGCGACCTCCTCGCAGCATAATTGCCTAATTCCCCCTACCCCCCTCCATCCCTCTTCCCTTCCTTCTCCAAAGTGCTAAGTGCCCATAGTAGTGCCCTTATTAAAGGAGCCGGACGTAGAGCACTATAATATAAAAAAAAAAAAAAAGATATATATTATGCAAAACACAAACCCCTAACATATAAAAAGATATAAGATCTGTTCTTCGCATTGGCAGTTTATTCAAAAAATATTGCCATCTATTCTTCAAGAGTCCAATAGATCTTTCTACCATCATTCGTGTTCTTGAGAGCTGAGTATTAAAATGTTTCTTCTACACTAAGATGTCCATTGTCTTTAAATAGAACCATAACTTGTCTTTGTATTATATAAGCTGCATCACCCAGTATATGACAGTTATTTGGAAAAAAATTGTTAGTGCACTTGTCTTGGACACCTGAATACTTGAAGACCTTCATGTCATGTATCGATCCAGGCATGCCCACATATCAGTGAATAAACTCTAGCTTATCGTTGCAGATAACCTGTAGTACAACAAATATATTTCATATTACAATTAAAACATCAATCATAGGAATAGTGTTTATGTTTTCATTTTTAAATATCATACTTGTATGTAAAAAGTTTGTAATCTCATTAAATACATAAATATTACAGTCCGTTAAAATTAACAAGTTAAATTATTTATACTAACTTGCAACTGCATTGACTTTTGCCTTTTCTGTTAATGTATGCATTAGCATCGGTTTTTGTAGCTACTATATGAATGAGTGCCGTCTACTGCACCGATCACTCCGGGAAATTCGTACGCCTCTTGTATCCTATGGGCTGTTTCTTTACATTCTTCACGGGGAGGGCCATTAAATAAAGTAATTACGATAATTACATAAAACTCGGACAACTCGTAAAGTGGCATGCCAGGCAGTAGATTGAGCAACATCAAATTTTAAGGTCACAGATCTATAAGTTAAAAAACAATGTGGAATAATACAGACTATTTTTATTAATGTATGATTAAATGTATGTATATCTCTAGTAATACCTGTAAGAATCTGGTGTTCACTTCATCATCTAAATCACTTTCTTCTTCACTGCTACTCAATGTCAATACTTAAGCTATCACCTTAATTAGTGCTAAATAATTCATTTCCAGATAGCGTTTTATTCAACAGCTAATATGAGTATGACTCAAATTTTGCTCCAAAATTTGCTCGAATCAGCTGTTTAACCAAACGGTGTTTATAGTGCCTGAACACACCCTCGGTTAGTTAAGGAGAGGTGGGGGTAGATACCAACCTAAGAGCTGACCAAAACATCATTTCCGAATACACTCATAGGTTATGAGTGGTCAAAAATTTCTCTAGATTAAATTGTCGAGATGACTTAATTTTAGGTATGTTTTTCTGGCTCTGAGTTTTCTCATTAATGATGGTAGAGTATAAAAAGGATGGTATCTCTGAATTTGCCTTGGAAAGTAACTCAATATTTTTCCTTGTATCCTTTGCGACCTTGTCTGCATTTTCAAATGCGCCTCTTAGTCCGTCGACTGATAGCTTCATTAGTTTGATAAGGTCAGGGATTTGCGTCGTCCTGTGGGGTTTCCTCTGAAAAAGTACAGCCGGTCATTCTGATTTCTGATAGGAGTATCATACAGCAATTAACTGAGCCGTGTAGACGCGGACAGAGATGCACGTAAGAGAGACTGCCCTGTTAATGTCGTCTGGATAGGGCTCGCGATGGAATGAAACGGCGCTGGCGCGATGCTTGTAGAGCGGAGACGACGAGAGCTGAAATACGTCGAACTGTAGATTCAGCTCTCTCTCTGATCAAGGTAAAGCCAAGCGTTCTTTACATAATGCTACATACAATTGTTTATGGCCAAATAAGTGTTTCTTTAAAAAATAAACCAGAAATGTCAAAACTTTGTCCTTGCGATTTATTATTTATCATGAAAAATGCTAAAACTAAAGAAAATTGCTTTCTGTACAGTTTAACAGGTATCGATGAAGAATAACCTGTATTTAAAATTATTTTTGGTAGAAAAACTCTACTTTCCAACTTTTCTCTAGTTGTTATTTGTGCTTTAATACTATATTTAAATAATTTTGTAATTTTAAATCGTGTGCCATTGCACACACTGTCGCATATACTTAAATCAAGTAGTGCAGTCGCGGTACGGTATGTTTCCCTCAGTCTGGCAAGCAGCAGCCGTAGTGACCGTGATATTTATAGTTTAACATTGGTTTTTTATTAACGTAACTATTGCTCCAACTTTAAAATTAAGATCATGGGATGGAAAATCTATCCGAATACTATTTAAAATTCCGTTAGAAAATTTATATAAGTGTTACTATTAGATTTATCATCACCTTTGTAAGTTGCATGGTACATGCTATAGTAGATTAATTATTTCCCGTTCAGTTAATTAAAAATTTTGTTGTTTAGGAAATAAGTGTTTTCATTAGAGGAAGTCAGTATGACTTTATAAATCGAACATTTATTACGCTCATCAAATATTTTTGAACATATAGTACTAGTTTTCCAATGTCTTGAAATTTTGAATGTTTCAATTTTTCCTTCTCCAATCTTTAATAATAATTTAGAAGAATTTTGATCTATTGAACGGATATTTATATTTAATTTTAAAGTATAAAAAAATTTCCACAAAAATAATGCTGTGATAGTCTCAGCTATTATACTTCTATGACTGTTTTTTGTATTAGGAAGAATTTGACGAAAATTTCCTGCTAAAACAATAAATTTGTTTTCAAAGTTTGTGTTTGTATTACATTGATAACGCAAGGTCTTGTCTACTATGTCCAAGGCTTTTTTTGGAATCATTGATGCCTCATCGCAAATTATCAAATCAACTTTTCCTAAATTTTTTTTGGATTCCATCACTAAAAATACACTATATTGTCTGAGTCTAACGGTAAACAAAAGATTTTGTATAAGGTTATTTCTTTTTAGAGCAACACCAATGTGATGCCAGCCTAAGCCATTAATAAAATTTTGTTACCTTGAAAAATAAAGTTATAAATCTATGTTTTGTACAAAAGTTTTTTTCAAACCTCCAGGACCATCCATAAAAAAAATTTCATTAGCATGCTCACATATTATTTTGATCATAATTTAAGTGAAGATACATAAAACTCGCATATGTTAACAAAATGTAATTTCTTCAGTGTTATCATTAGGATTTAAGTTAATTTTGTTTGGAACTGGTAAATTAAACGATAATTATGATCTTTCGATTTAAAAATTTTATTTATGATAAGAAGAGCACTGTTTTCTTTATTATTAATAAAATCTTCTGTAAAATATATTTTTTCCATACGTCATCGCCTTGAACGTTTTTTAAAATTAAAAATCATTCAAAAATTGCCGTAATTATAAAGGAAATATAATTGTGCACCCGCGAGTAATATTTGTATTTTCTAATATTTATCTTGAATATATTTCTTATTTTAAATATTCCTCGCGAGTGATTATTTTGAGGTATACCCGATTCCCTTTGTGCCGTGTTGAAGTCGTTGCGAGAAGCGACGACCCCTGAAGCCGCGATATTTAGTCTCAACGGTGTCTCGGAGAGCGAGACCCGCGTATAAAGATTATTGGAGGTGTCGCCGAGGGTACCCGGGTAACACAGGCCCGGTCGAAGTGGAGTGATTCCGCATCGGCAGCACCCCGTAACAATATAAATATATGTATACATATATATATATATATAATATTACAGTGTACTAACCTCTGAGAGGTATGTACAACTACAGCTATAGATATGTAGCCCGTTGTATGCATATACATATAGGTTTAGCTTCTCCTCCATTTCCATCCTCCATCACCGATGCACACATTTGGATTCTCATGTCTCCCTCACTGATCTCCCCTTACCTCTCCCCGCGAGCCGAGCCTACAAGCCGCCAGCCAATAGAAAACATGTTCACGGTTCCTCTGCTGGCCACGATGGATTGGCGCTCAAGTCAGCGCCGAAACATCGGCACACTCTTTAACATAGGCACTGGCAATCTCCCTACTTATCTCTGCTT